TAGGTTCGGGTGGGTGCGCACCCACCAAAGGATGTTGCACCCACCCAAACGATTCGAAAATGTTCACACAAAAATTGTCAAATTTTGTATAAACTAAGGGTCAATTGACTTCTGTTATCAATTGAGACTGTTTTGGAGATATTAAAATACGTTTAGGAGAGTAAAATTCCAAAATTTTCCAGGGGGCTTCACCCCCCCCCCCCCGCCGTGCGCCAAGCTGCACCCACCCAAAGTTTTTGAGCTGGAGCCATGCTTGAGCCAAAGAAGACACAAAAAAACATTATTATATCAGAAGTGGTAATATTTGTAGTGAGGACAAGATGTTAGAGAGTGATACATAATAATGAGTGATATACATCCATAAGTTTTTAATTTTGATTGTTGATATAAGCGGGATAAAAATAATTTATTTCATTTGTATTGGACGGGACATACACAAAGATGCTACGTATGGTGCTGGGTATCTCATGGAAGGACAAGGTCAGCAATATAACTTTGTATGGTAGTCTACCAAGGCTGTCAAACAAGTTACGAAGCAGGAGACTAAAAATGGCGGACACTGCATCAGACATCCTGAGCTACTTGCCAGTGATTTAGTCTTATGGAAACCTATGCATGGTAGAGCACAGCAAGGCCGACCAAGACAAAGCTACTTGTCTATGTTACTGAAGGAAATTGGGACAAACTCAAAAGAGGAACTGTGAACCCTGATGCGGGACAGGGATATATGGAGGGGGTTATCTGGCGTAGATCGGACTTAGTTCCGAAAAAATAGTAGTACCTATTTCATTAATAACCTGCATAGTTGAAAAGTTGATTGATGTAGTTTCGATAAACAGGGCGTCGTTCAACTCCACTCATTTCGTTCCAAGCTGGAATGTAGTATTGTTTAGTGTAGGTTTGTTCATGTACCTCTCATCATCAAAAGGTTTCAACTTATACAGCATCGATAACATCATCTAACAAAGCTGTTTGAACAGCTTAAGATTCAGTTAAAATTACATTATTCAGATACAGTTTGTGAAATGAAACATTGTCAGCCTGTATTTAATTAATTATAATAATTATGGTAATTTAGCTAAAAATCAAACCATTTGAGTTTTCATTGTTATCAAAATAATTTCGATCTAAATTCGTCTTAATCTGCATGGCTGTGAGCGGATCGAAGTCTTTTAACAAACCACAAGATTCTTGAAGTGATCCGAATGTACACAGAGAACTGTCTTAGCTAGTTCTGGGTCCATAAACATGTCACCTTCTTTCTAATGGTGATTGTCAAGTTTGTTCAGCAACATAATTCAGAATTACAGAAATTATTTGAATCTACTAGAGATGAAATGGCTTAAATAACAAGCAATAGATGTAACTAAACAATTAAATACATATTGTAGTTTGACTACTTCTTTGAAACAATCAAAGAACGGGGGAGCTAAGGGAATGATTGCTCAAAACGAATGATATCTTCATGAATTCAATGCAGCATCTATACATTTATTCGAAATAAGTGATGGATGAGGGGGTTTAAGTCAGGCATTCCTGACATTTACTCTGATGTCAGGGGCCTTTTATATATTATATTTGAGTATAATACATTTTACCTTATAATTAACCATCACTCCCGTCTAGGAAGTACTATGTATTTGTGTATGTAATTGAGATCGTATCAGCGCCTTTCATTCTACTCAACGCGTTTCATTCTCATATATGTCAAGCTTGTTTAGAGTAGAATGAAACGCGTTGAGTAGAATGAAAGGCGCTGATACGATCTCAATTACATACACAAATACATAGTACTTCCTAGACGGGAGTGATGGTTAATTATAAGGTAAAATGTATTATACTCAAATATAATATATAAAAGGCCCCTGACACTACTACTATTTATAAATTCAAAATCATGTTAAGAAGATAGCAGCAACTAATCCATATTATTTACAGTGCTCTATTTTATGTGTACTGAAGAGTGCCTTTACAATATTCCACTTTGTGGTGTAGATTTCCTCCATATCCAACAGGCAACACTGAATGAGTGATGGATGAGGGGGTTTAAGACAGGTGTTCCTGACATGTATTCAAAATTGCATTGAGAAGATAGCAGTAACTAATCTATATTATTTACAGTGCTCTATTTATGTACTGAAGGGTACCTTAACAATATTTCAGTTTGTGGTAGGGTTCCTCCACATCCAACAGGTAACACGGAATGAGTGATGGATGAGGGGGTTTAAGTAAGGCATTCCTGTCAAAAGATCTATAATTAATCTTGTAAGGGTACCACACAGTAGACATTATATTGTTGATTGTGAACCAAAAGTTTATTCATACCCACAATCGATAAATTATAAATCCAAATAGTCATATAAGCAATGCAATACTAAATTGGTGAAATTGTATTAACAAAAGGTATACAGCCAAGTAAAGGTATCTCAACAATATAACATTGAAGTATTAGAAATGGCACTCTACTATTATAAAACACTTTACTGTACTGTATTAAACAATATTAAATGAAATTAAGCCAGAGAAGGCATGAACTTCAGAAAAGGACAATACACTAACGGTACAAAAACTTAAATGAGTTTCAGGGAAGGGTTACTAAAATTTTACGGTAGCGCTCGATTTTATTCAAAAATTTTCAAAGTGCTCAGCACCACGAAAAATATAATTTTTTCTTCCGCTTTCAAAACTTGTTTTGACGCTGAAAAACTATCAAATAGTATTATTGAACAGTATTAAAACACTTTGTGGGCAAAAATATTTCATTTTGGATGTATAAAGAGCCGATAAAATTTAGCGCGCAAAAAAACATTTTTTTTGGAAGGTTTTTTAAAATTTTGAACAGGTTAACTCTTATGTGTGCTTATGAACTTAATATTAGCTAATGCGGCATATCAAAATGTATCAGAAACCGAAATATCTAAGCTTTTGCTTGAAATTAACCTATCGATAATCCTGAAAAACCTCAAAAAATGACCATTTTTAGGGCCAAAAATCGGTTTTTTTCAAATAAAACCAGGTTACCCCCATTTTCAACACTTCCCACTATCACCAATCGATTCAGGGGCCAAAAATACGTCTTTTAAGACATGTCTGATGACTCTGGTGTATCGAGCAGAAAATCCCCGTAACAGCTCCTACTAAATCAGAAGCCGAGTTATTTTGATTTTAAGTGTCGACTCGCGACTTGCGAGAGAGTAAATATTATGGTGTGGGCCTAATAACTCAACAACCTGACGTCTGATGACTTTGAAACTACGTTCTATCCCACTCAATGTGATGATTCTGAACATTTTTATGCCCAAGTTTAGTTCCTAACTCTAATCAGAAGCCGAGTTATTTTGATTTTAAGTGTCGACTCGCGACTCGCGAGAGCATAAAAATAGGGTTCCGCCTAATAACTCAACAACCTGACGCCTGAGAACTTTGAAACCACGTTTTACCCCACTTAATGTGATGATTCTGAACATTTTTATGCCCAAGTTTAGTTCCTAACTCTAATCAGAAGCCGAGTTATTTTGATTTTAAGTGTCGACTCGCGACTCGCGAGAGCGTAAATATTATGGTGTGGGCCTAATAACTCAACAACCTGACGTCTGAGGACTTTGAAACTACGTTCTACCCCACTCAATGTGATGATTGTGAACATTTTGCTGCCCGAGTTTTGCTCCTAACTTCAATTGGAGGCTGAGTTATTTTGATTTTAAGCGCTGCAATCGCTACCCGCGAGAGCGTAAAAACAGGTTGGGGCCTAATAACTCAACAACCTGACATCTGAGGACTTTGAAATTGTGGTCTACCCTACTCAATGTGATGATTCTGAACATTTTAATGCCCAGGATGAGCACGTAGCTCAATCAGAAGCCGAGATATCTCGTATTTAGTGTGAAAATCATGACTCGCGAGGGTAAATAAGGGTGTGGTCACATAACTCAACAACCCGATGTCTGTTGACTTTAAAATTATGCTCTACCCCCCTAAATGTGATGATTCTGAACAACTTCAAAGCCAAGCTGAGCTTCTAATTCCAATTAGAAGCGGAGTTATTTTGATTCTAAAGTTGCAAAAGCGCCAAAAAAGTGCGTGGTCAATTGCGCAAAACTGCCCCATAGCCAAAATTTCTACCCAAGCCAAATTTGTTTCTAATGGGTCCCTTGAGGTATTCCAAGTCTCAAACCCCGGGGCGGAAGTTATATAGACGGGAATGTTGTCAGATCCATGACTAGTATAATTTGCTGAGCATTTCATATAATCAAACTTTTATTAATCCCCGCGTCTCAAACCAAGGTATTTTAAAACATTTTCAGTAGATCAATATGTACCTGATTACCATAATTCTTGGTACAAATACTGATCGTGTAAAACTGACACTTCAAATAGTTAAGGTACTGACAATACTTACGATCGTAAGTATCCGATGGTCGCCATCATGACGCCTTTCAACTGTGAGTATCTACATTCAAACAGACAGTGAAAATACACCTGCGCTCAAGCTTGCGACACGAATATTAAAAAACCGTGACCGTTGAAAGTGAGAGTTTACACTGCCGATTACAATAGTTTTCACTGTCTGTAGCATTAAATACGTTGCCCATATTTTAATTACGTTAATTAACTTTTACTTTAATTACGTTAATTAACTTTTACTTTAATTATGTAAGTAAGGTTAAAACCATCACAACCAGCATGTGGGCCAGCAATTTTTGGGCCGGCCGTAACATGTATTGCACTGTGATTAGGAGACAGATTTAGCGGCTTGGGCAGCTTTTGGGCCCGCCATACTAAACTGTCGACCGGTGGGCTGTGCCCGCCACCTAGACTTTTACTTGATCATAAACTGTGTTTATGTAAGAACTTTAAAATCATAATATTAGCTTAACAGCATTCTTTATCATGAGGATTTATTATTCATAATTACCATGTTCTATTTTATGCATTATGTTATGCTATTACTGCTGTACAATGAAGTACTCAACACGATCAATAATATTGATTTTCCTCAGTGAACGCTGAAGGATCCGCCCTTGTAACGGAATACCTCGGCCTCTTTGTAAAAGGTTGGTCGCTAGATCACATTTTTGTCAAATAGTTCACCAGTGACAGAGATTATGTAATCGGAATTCGCTAGTTTGATGATTTCAGTTCTAGTTTAAACAAAAATTTCCCCTCAGAGATCATCAGTAGAGCCGAACGGCAGGCTAAAACAGAAGGAGATTCACAGGTGGAAGGCTCCCATCTAGAGAAAGTCATCCCTCAAATTGTAAGTAAACTGTTCAGGCTAACTCAAAATAACTTAATAAGCTATGTTTTCTGGTATAGGTATGAGTAGAGGGTATAATTCGAAATACCTAACATTGTTGGGATTGCTGTTTTAACCATTTCTCCATTTCAGCTCCTCGACTTCTCATAATGACACTATCAGTAATGGATGATCTAGACTTCAACACGCGATATGACTGTCCTAAATGTGAGAAACTTGAGACTGATCTCAAAACTTCTAAATCAGAGGTAATGTTCTAGAATAATGTATCGATTATAATATCATATTAAATTATAAAAACTGTAGATTGTCTTTTTTATAAATTACAATTGTTCAAAATGAAATGTTAATAAGAAAATTACTGTTGATAAGATTAATTAATTAATAAGTCTATTAATCTTACAATATTATGATCTAAAATCCCAGGTTGCTGATTTGCGAAACTTGGTAACAGTAATGAGAACTCAGACTGCTAAAACTACAACACTGCTCCACAAATTTGATACGACTAAGAAAACGTTGCTGTTACAGAAGCAGAAAATAGAAGCAGTGAGTTGTTACTTATTATATCAGCAATACAATTTATAATAACAATTTAGTGGATGCTTTAACTAAAAGATTTAATAAAACTTCACAATGATATCTTATACATAATATTATTAAATTTACTGCTTATGATGTTTATTGATAATGGGCTGAGATGGTGATTGGAAATTCACCTACTCAAATTTCAGTTAGAGAAACATAACGGGATACTAAAAGCTGAAGCGAAGACAGTAAACGAGCAACTAAAGAAACAGCTCGACTCCACAGAAGATTCCAACTACCTCAAAAGTTCAGACGAAAACGAGGAACTTCGAAACAACATGCAATCTCAGCAGGCTGTTATCGAGCAGTACAAAGCACAGTTCTCTAGAATGGAGAAGGAAATAGAGGTGTACAAAAAGAGGAAGACCGAGGCTGAGAGGGCGTGCAGTTTATTACAGGCTAAAGTGGCAAAGTTGAAAGATAGCTCCAAATCCGAGAAGAAGCAACCTGATAATTCAGAGGCTATTGCTAAGTTGAAGTCTGAGATCGGTGTCTTGAAAAGGGAGAATACCCGGTTGAAAGACAGTCGAGAGGAAACAGTAAACAGACTTGCTGATAAAAAGAACCAAGATATAACCAAGAAACTGACTGCCATGATGAATAAGCAAACCAGTTTAGATACTACCATAGAAAAAACTATCGAGCGAACTATACAGAGAAACTTAAAAGATATCCTGCTATCTCCAACGAAGGGAGGGAGCATGTACCGGACACCTGCTGCTCGGCCTCGCAGGAACACTAAGAGCACAGAGGGAGGTGTTACACCTAGCACGCCTACATCTGCCAAGAAACGAGGTAGACCTGTTGGGTGGAAGAAAAACAAACCTAAGCAGTCCAGTTCTGAAGAGGACAGTGAGCTAGAGTTGAACCCCAGACCCAAGAAGAGCGTCAAGAGGCCAGTCAAACGGAAACTTAGCCATTCAGCTGAACCAAAGAAGAAAGCGAAACCCTTGGTTCAAGATAGTGGGCACTTGTCAAACAGCTCCTCGGATGATGATGTAGACTTGGTGGGATTCCTGGAGAATTCCTTAAATTTTCCAACTAGCGCTAGGAGCGAACCTGATGGGGTCTTGGTATGTGATGCTTTGCCTTCCACATCGAGTGAGTTCAATCTGTTTGACCAGCATTCTGCTGAAACAGATGGTATTCCTAAAGAATCTCCTAAACTTATGAATTCCCCCAAACCTATGAATTCCCCCAAACCTCAAAGAAAAGTGCCCACAGTACTCAATGTAAAGAGCATCTTCAGTTTAATGGTTTCTCCTGGACAGCTTTCACCTTTGAAGACATATCAAGAAAGCAATAACCCTGCCGAGCTAATTGATATAAAAAATGAAGAGCAAGGTACCACTAATCCTCAACCAGCCGTTCCAATCTCCTTGGAAGAATTTTCTGTAGAAACTCCCTCCTCATCCTCTGGTCCCACACCCGCTGTTTCCAGTCCCAAGACTACTCCTAAGAAGGAAGACCAAACCATCTTAGATCTGATTGGCTCCTCAAAATCTCCAGCTCGGACCGTTTCTCCTATTGTTACAGAGACTGCTTCGACAGACCCATGTTTTCAACCTATTTCAATAAAAAACGAAATGACGAAGACGAAATCGGAGCCAAACGACCCCATCATTACCCTGAAGCCAATGTCTAGTAGAGAAGCTAGATCAGCTCCTATAGTCTCGACTCTTGGAGACCTGTTGAGCCCGAGTAAGGTAGAGTCTGACTCCGCAGCAGCCAGTACACCAGATGTTGAGATTGTTAGTGTGGTTCAGGTGGAGAGGGAAGAGCCGTGTGTCTCGGCGTCTGATTCTCAAACTGAAGACGATTTACCAGAAGTTTCCACTGCTAAACCGGTAACGAAATCATCAAAGTTCAAACCAGTTCAGTTAGCAGCTCCATCAACCTCTCAAAACTCAGAAGATGAGCGAACGACTTTTCCAGCCAAGACTTCACGGCCTAGTTTCAAACCGGTATCTTTTGTAGCTAAGTCTTCAAGACCTAGTTTTAAACCTGTAGCTTTTGCGACAACAGCTGTCCAAAAGCCCACCCAGCAAATTACTAGTGTTTCCTCTAGCAGCCCCAAGTCACGGTTTCCTCCTATTTCAATGTCGTTCTGTAAACCGAAAACAAGCTCCATTTTATTACCACCAACGGTTACAAAGGGTTACCAAACCCTTACGCAGCCTGATATTGTTCAGAAAGTAAACCTGCCTCCTATATCAATATCCTTCGTCAAACCGAAAGCAAGTCCCAGTTTATTACAACCTAAGGTTGTGGAGCCGGATATTGAACATGAAGCAGACTTACCTACAACCTCAGATACTGGAGTTCCAACAACCTCCTCAGTTCCTGATCTAACGACAAAGCAGGAAGAGGACTACAAACCCTCAGTGACAAATGGGCCAGTTTTATCTCCTGCAGTGCCCTCTCCTGGAATTGCCATTGAAGCTTCATCTACTTCCAATGAGAAAGAAACTGAGTCTCATGAATCTGATCCACTCTCCGTTTTATGTAATAATGATGCCACCCCTCAAGTGGCTCTTGAACCTGAAACTTCTTCTGTAACTCCGAAGGTAAAATCGGAGAAATCACCCACCAGGAGACAATCAGAGGTCAATGTCACATTGTCTAGTGATAGCCTAGTAACCCCTACAACTCCCACAGAAGTGGTTGTCTCTGAAGATGTCATGGTATGTGCTTTTGAGATGGATATCAGTGGTGTAAGCAGCAGTCAGAGCGATGCTGATACTCAGTCAGACAGCGCTGCTGATGTTTCTCAATCTCCCAAACAAGTTGAGATCTATCATGAGCTACTGCCTACAACACGGTCAAGAAAGTCAGCTTCAAATAATGATGCTTTTGTTGCTCCAAGGCGGGCCAGGGAACGCAAGAGTATGTCTCAAGATCAGGATAAACAGCCTGAGGTGATCACTAAATCATTGAGAAGCAGGAAAGTCAGTGTTACTGAAGAGTCTGCAGAGGTTCCCAAGCGCCGGAGATCAGCAAGGACTTCAAGCGTTTCTGATGTTAGTGACAGTAGTAGATCACCTGCACCTAGAAGATCTAGGAGAATCCAGAACTCAACCAGTCCAGTCAAAGCACTAAAACCAAAGAAGAGTCCCATGAAGAAGGCACTTCCAGAAACATTGACTCCAGAGGAGATGATTGTTGATGAAGTTATCCTAGGTTCTGAAAACAGGAATATCATGATTCCTAGCGATCTTATGGAGCTCAAGAAGTCAATAGACCAAGCACAACTTCAAGAAACCGTTGTCAAAACTCTCGAACAATCTGTGGTCCCTGAAGTTGAAGAGCCCCAAAACATATCAAATGAAGTTCAGAGTATCGTGAAACCAGAACAAAATGACAGTTCTGATAATCTGGAACCTCTCAAAGTCCCTGCCATGGAACTGGCTGTGTTTGCTGAAAACACTCTTGAACCTGCTGCTGAAGACACTCATGGTCCTGCTGTTGAGTCCATTCCAGGACCTTCGCTCCCTCTGAAAACATCTAACACTGACCTGTCTCCTCTTGATTCACCTGTGGCATTGAAATATTCTGATGAAAATAATGGAGCTAAAGCTGTTGACACGGCAAATGATATCAAAGGTCAAGTCCAAGTGAATGCGGTTACCGTACAATCTGATACAGTGAAAACACTGACAAATTTGTCAGAGAAAAGGAAAGTTGCTAAATCTTTACCGTCACCTGCAGTGAAACGTATTCCTCCACCACCTTCGGGAGACTGGCATGCAGTAAAGTCTCTTGATCTAAATCTCACTCCAGTGTCCAGAAAAGTTGAAGCGAACAATGTTGATGGTCATTTCAACATAACTGCATTATCTAATAAAGGAAAAGTCCAGAAATCTAACAGTGTAGAAAAGAAAAGAGAGAGAAGAAAGAAGAGAAAAGCTGCAAAGGCTGTCTCATCGCTTACAATAAAATCTGTGCCCCCACCTTTATGCAACTGGGACTTAGTAAAATCTCTAGATCTAGATCTTACTCCAGTCTCCAGGACGGTACAACCCTTCAAAGAAGCACCAATCCCTGATTCTTCAGATATTTCAGATGAGGACTTGATGATTGCTGATACAACTGTTATAAGTCAGGATGTTGAGGATGTTCAGAAGGTTGAGGTTGATATTACGGTTGATGAAGATGAAACCTCTACATCGGCAGTGCAAGTAGAGAAATCAGATGAAGCTCCAAAACTTATGACTGAGAAAGAAAAGACTGTTAAAGTTGTAGTTCCCCCCTCTTCTGAATGGTTTACTGCAAAGTCTCAAGATTTCACTTCAGTCGAAAAACTACCATCTTTCAACGCAGCAGCTGCAATAAGTGATCAGTCTGACTCAGAGCTACCTTCCAAAACTACAGAATCTAGGAAGAGGAAAAAGACGAAAGGACCAGACCACTACATCTCCCTCGCTCAAATATTTGACATATTTATCCCCAAACCTGCTATCACACTTCTTGGTTTTAACAAAGACAACGACCATCTCGTCATGGATACAAGTGACTGTGAATCTCAGGTACCATCACCTGCCGCTTTTAGCAGTACTCAAAAACCCATCGAATCAGTTGATATGAATCTTCTGAGCAATCTAAGAACCATGGCAAAGAAAGGTGCAGAACCTGCGTTACCAGTAGATGATGAACCATTGTACCACCAGACATATGAGGACTACACACATTTGGTACCCAACGGAACTACACAGCATCTGGTAGGAATGTTTAGAAGGAATCTCTGTACCAGTGCACCAGATGTACCGTACATTGTGGAAACAATAGTGTATAATCATAAGAAAAAGGCACTGCAGAATATAGAAGAAAAGTTGATAATAGCTATCAGAAATGAGATCAGTATTCGAGATACCAGCCCGGCTAACGTCGAGATTCCTCCCATTGATGTTTTGGTGGAATTCTTCTTTGATTTGTTTTCTCAGTTGGTAAATAACGATTACTCATACTTTGATGAGAGTACCTGGATGCAGGATGTGTTAAAGAAACTATTTGTCCGAGTCGCAAGTTCGAAAAAGAACTTAACCCAATCCCTTATCAGTCTGCTATCTTTCTCTATAAAACTATCCCTGAAATGTAAAGATTTGAAATTCCTCCGTGCTCACATCATCAAAACTATCAGTGACATGAACTACACCTACGTCTGTAATCTCCTCACCAAATGCTTCACCAGCTACAGTATTTTCCTGCTTATCGGAAAGCAACATCTGTGTTTTAGCAAGGACAAGAACTCTATCAAAGACCTGAACTGTCTGTACCTGGCTGGGCTGGAATTTTATCTACGTTACACACAGTTAAAGTTCCCACCAGTTGAGCAACTAAGCTATATTCATCAGTTTGCGGTTGAGAACCACTTGATTAGTGCAGCATTGGATGCTGTTGTTATTAAAGAGGAACTGGGACCAGGGACTGACTACAAGAATCACAACGAACAGGTTGATAGATTTATCTTATTTCTTACATGTATTGATTTGAACTTAGATAGGATACAAATTAATTTCCTTTTTGCACATTCAGCCAGTGGCGATCAACAAATTTTTCAAAGTTGGGACCCGCTCTACACTCTTGCAATATTTATTTTAACCTTATTACCGCAGGGGCTGATATGTATAAAGTTGATGGTGAAATCACAAGGATGGACGTGGTTCACAACGACAGTACTACCTCTGATATTTGATAAACTTTCTACCACCACCGAGTTCGGCATTTGCAGGTAAACTATTGTGGATATTTGACTGTCAAATGTCAAACCTGGAATAGTTCGGGACTTGAATAAGCTTTTTCATTATATGGCAGAGACAGTGTCGAAGTCGTGTCGATTGTTCAGTGATACAAGACATTGATCAACATATTTCCTTCAGATTAACGGAGTTGATAGTGAATTTGGTTAACTCGGAGATAATCAGTTACAGAGCTGCCGGAAATATCACAATGCTGAAGGAGAAACTTATTCCTGCTTTAATTGGATTGCTTTGGACAGGTAATTTACTTAAATTTCTCTAAACAAAAGAGAAACGAAAGCCTGCATAGTGTCAACTATCACGAGTTGATTAATTAGATTACATCCTTCATTGTTTTACAGCATGAGCAAGCACTCAGCGGGAATCGATTGAGGTCAGTATGTAAATTACACCGAGCCATCGCTACTAGCAAATATAAACGGGTTTTGTTGTACAAAGATCATACTCTTGTTGCGCACGTCTCCAAAACTAAGGCCGGCGCGCCGCGCGATCGTTCTACCATGCACTAGCTATTACATGTGTTATATCGATGCATGTAGTGCAATCTCAAATTCCAGACGATTAAATTGTCGTGCATAGTGTAAGCAAGCAACGATGAATTGCATGTTCATGATAACTAAAACTAAATATTTTCAGCTCCAACTGCAGATATTAAGTTCTCTTTTGCCCGATGTCTTGTCCAACTCAGTCCTTTGAACTCTTCGTACGTCTCATCGTCTTTACAGAACTGGGTGAATTGTATTCCCGTACACTTCAAAGAACATCAGCAATATCCTGAGTTATATTATATGATTAGTTTTATTGCTGAGAGGGAGGGAAAGAATTCCAGGACGTTGTGATCATTGTTTTCTATCAGATTTTTAATTTTAACTTATTATTCACGGCTGCTTTTAAAGCGTTAATTTATTGTTGTATATTGTTCGATTCAGTATCTTAGATGATGTTATCCCTTAGTTTATTTTGTATTCAATCAATGGACTTGAAAACTGCTCCCAATCGTGTATTCGATAAACTTAGGGCTTCCGATTGATTCTCAGCATAACAATTTGTACGGGAGACTTGCTATCCGGTATTTAACTGAAACATGCTTGTAAACGGACCACTTTGGATGGAAATCATTGGACAGAATAGTAACCAGAAAAGTACAAAATCAAAAACACCATTCATGGGGAAGGTTGGGTGGACTGGGTAATGGAAACGCTCTAGTAATAGTAAAGGCTGGGGATGGAGTTGACCGCACTCCAGGATCATCAGCCGGGTAAGATCCGCGGCAGTGGGACCTCTAGTTCTTTTATACCTTGCATTATAGCTTCGCAGGGTTTAACAGAACTGTGAGGCTGGCACGAAGAGCAGATAGTTCAAAACTATCATGCTCCCCCCACTGAGACCGCAAGCACGACGTGTTGCTTGGGCCTTTAAAATCGTAAAAATGGTCTTTAAAATCCGAGAGATGGTTAGTAAAACGTCTCTTCATACTGGTAGCTGAAGTTGTAGAAATATAATCTACTCTTCAGGGATGGAGATGGTCACCTCAGCTGGGGCAGGTGCGACCATAACTTGACGAGTCGGGGTACTCTGACACCCCACTGCTCCTCTTCCTTCTTCCATGTCGATGATCGTCGACATGTCTTTAACCAGCAGCTTACTAGGAAGACCTGCTGCTTCTTTCTGTAGCCCAGCAGCCACGTTGTTAACAAGGAGGGCGAAGTCCCTGTACCGTTCACTGGTTCGCTTGTCCAGATCTGCAAGTTCTTCATATAGCTCACGAACTGAGATAAAAGGGAGACCTCGCTCAAATCCGTGGCAGCAAAATACCATAGTCCCTCCTCCCATAATAGCAATGCCGAGGAGGACGATGGCAACGAGAATCAAGATTGTACTTGGTTCCATTTAGATTAGTGTTGTTTATCTTCACATAAGAGAGATGATTTGAATAGCACTGACCGTTTGCGTGCAAACAAAGGCTCAAAATGCACGTCGTCATGGTTGGAAGCAGCACGCACGTGCAGTTTTGGATAGATGCCAAATATAGAATAGCGATAGAATATTATTGCATACCTTTTATTTGTGCATCAGCATTTAACAGATATAAGATACTGCAACTGGTCAGGCCAGTTAGCTACAACTCATGCATTTTCCTTGAATCACTGGCTAGTGAATCAATAGCGATTGCCGGTCAGTGGTGTCACATCAGAGCGGGCTAGCTAATATAGTTAGCCAGCAAAGCTATGTTGTATGTATACGTACGTATTTAAAGCTACACTAGCTGAGCTGCAGGTACGGTATAGTAGGCGCGCGGCCAGCTAAGCTAGCTAGCTAGATTATATCTAGATATTATATATTAAATTAAATTAATTTAATTTAATTTAATTTAAATTAATTAGATTAATTAAATTATATCTGTGATTATGCGCCGACTATACCAGCACAAACTAAAGCGCGTGTTCCAAACAATAAGTTAGGAAGACCCTTTTACAACATGCGATTATTTTACCTGTGATGTTTGTGCCAGGACTGCCATTATCGGAAACGTTTTTACCATACAGGGTATAATGTTTGTGTACGTATTGTTCATTTCTATTTTTGAGCAACACGATTTAATCATGAGAATCGATGCTATTGGGATTTGGGTTCATAGAATTTTATGTGTTTGACAAATCAAAGTATGTTTCTTCATTCACAACTGGGTAATTACAAACTGAAAATAAATGTGAACTCCTCAATATCATATTTTACTTTAAAATAACCATAAACAAATCAATCAAAATATTCAAAAGAATCATTCATTCATTATACATATATAATAGTTGTACAACTGATATATCAAAACGCTCAGCTGTTTATAATGTCAATATATAACTTTCACTGGTCTTGCACTGATTTGGCAGCGTCACTTATAGATTTGACCCTGGTCATAAGAAACACTCCTAAAATTTCGCTTCAAAATTTTTATTAATCGAAACTCAATTAGTTGAACAGTATTAGACATATGAAATATCATATGCATATCTTAAAAGTTCTTCCTGTGACAATCTTCTAAAGTTAAATTGGGAAAAACGTGGTCCATCTCGTGCGAACTTTCCTAATGACCATTGACCAGGGTCATTTACTTCTTTGAAATGGTTATAATATGACTATTTTAACTTACGATGTGAATATTATGAAATAAAATCTTTCTTTTATTAATCGAATATAATTTTTTCCACTTGCGCTTCTATGATGTTATTGATAAAATAAGATTGCGCATTTTATACCAAAATTAATCTAATTTTAATGGTTAATATATATAACAAGAATACGATGTTCTAAATTATAGACAAGCCTAAAAGATGTAAACTTCTTATGCGTTCTACCGTAATGTTCAAGAACATGGAGGCTAACGTTAAAATATTGTACGAAAATCTCATTAGACACTAGACAGTGTACAAGAAGTATAGGATTAGATAAACTGCAGACAGAGTGTATCTTGTAAGATGAGAGGAGTTAAACATAACAAAGAACAGCGGAAACTATAAATAAACCCTGGAGAAAAGGCATTCCAAATATAAAACTAAATTAACAAACTACAAACTATCATCTTTTCCTGTAATACCGTCTCACATACCACAGCCCAAGAATTTGAGTTAAAACAGGCCAGGTAACCATGAATATGAGCCACCGCCGCTCCCACACAGACGAGATTGTGCTACTGCGCGACTGTTCGGATAGCAGGTGCCGTGCCAGGATGTTTTCCAGTGCGTCCATCCTTTTGAGGAGGCCACGTACGTCTTGGCGCATGAGGCGCAAGGTGCGCAGGATCTGTGACTCCACGTCTATTATCCGCACATCACTGCTACCTGGGGGAAGTGTGTTAATATCCATATCCTATCATTCATATCCTCACGAATTTGGAGATAAAGGACACAGTTTAAGGATCCACATGTTAATTAAATTACTGCCTGGGCATGTTAATTAATTTCTTGTACAAAATCTTATCTATATGTATATAAGCGACACATACAAGCTTCAGAGCTTCCGAACGAGTCACTATTCTTCTTGCCCTGTTTCCTTTTCTTTTTACGAGATGTAGCCTGTGTACTGTCTGAGCTGTGCCCTGCGTTACTGATATTCCAAATAAAACTGAAAGCGGGTTCCAAGAAAAATGGTGGAAATTTTAAAATGGTAATATTTTTGTGAGTGTCGGGTTTCTCAATTGAAAATTCCATTTTTCCCATACGGTGATAATTTGTTACTATGTATTTTAGTTTTTGACACGAGTTATACTCTAAAATGATTCGTATGGGACTTTTCAAAAATTTTATGTGTCTGACAAACAAATATGTTCTTCATTCATACTGGTAATAAACTGAATAATTTGATCTTAAACATTTTTTTTAGAATACCGATTCATATTCAATCAATTTCAAAAGAATATATCATTATATTCTTATAAGTAGTTGTACACGCATTTAAACGTCAGGTTAAATAATGGTTGATATACTTTTCAGATTTGGGTGGCATTATAGATTTGACTGGCTGTAAACTACCTGAAATTTCTTAATTTATTATCAAATTCATTAGTTAAAGATAGAATTGTGCAAATCATATGCCTTATCTTAAAAGCGGAAATTAAGTTAAATGGAAAGAATTTCATTTTAAGCTAGATATTGAGGGATTACTTAAATGGTTAAATAAATTAACTTACCGATAAATTTACTGAAAAAAATCTGTATTGGTCAACAAGTTCCAGCTTCGCTCTAGTGAAGTTATTGGAAAAATTCGTTTCCATTTTATATAGCAAATTTTAATTTACATTTTAGTGGATATATTGACTTCAAGAATGATTTAAATTTAAGACAATCTAGAGTAAATTCTATGCGGTTTCCTATGTTAGACCCCAATTAAAGCTCAAACGTTAAAATGTAAAATATCCATTGACACTAGAAGTTATTTTGAGTTAGATATCAGACAAATTGGATGAGAAGTTAAAACAAAAAAAAAAAAAAAATTCCAATATAACTTATAACAAACTTCAAATCTATCATCTTTTTCCATACGTTCTACATACAAGCCAGATTTTGAGTTTAAACATCCTGTAACCTAATTAATATGAGACCGAGTCCACAAACAGATTGTTACTTGATCGGTACTTCATAAGTTGATGCCATGATTTAACATTGCTTGCATCCTTTTGAGAGCCAGTAATTTGGGAGCATGGTAGGCTGACAATAACTCTAATCACTGAGGGGAATTAAATATATTATCTCATCCAAATTTGGGATAAGAAAATTAGGTCCCAGTTAATTAAATTATGAAGTTGATCGATTTTTTAATTTCTTCAAATTTATTTATATGAATTAAAATAGTTTCAGAGCTTCCGACGAATTGGATCTTGGCCTGTTTCACTTTTATCCAACCAGTTTTAGGCCCTCTAAATCGAAAAATGAAAAGTGGAAGAGGGTATAATGGTGGGTGTGTGAAATGGTAATGGATGTTTTCATGTACCCGTTCTAAATTGTAAAATTATCCACAATTTACGAGTTTTTTGATGATATTTTATCATTTTTTTTGACGTGTTTATCTAAACGTTTCGTTATTAACTCAGATTTTGAGGATATAAAGAAAAAATCAACACATGACACCTGTAATAAATTGCTCATCACACGACTCATGTGAAGTTGTCAAGCAAACATTTTTAGTTGAGGCACAGTGACTAGAATAGAAGATATTTCTATTCTATTTAGGTGCCCAATACCATGTCTTGTGAGGGCTAAGTAATTAAAGAGAGCCAAATTCTCTTGTACAGACTTTATCACCAACATTCTCAATAGCATGAACTTAGAGTTGGAGAGTTTATAAATTATATCGAGCTTTACTTTATAACGCTATATATTAAAAGTCTTTAAGTATTTAACTACCGGGGTCCTGGCCAGCTTCCTGGAGTTTGAGTTTAAGCACCAGCTAGAGTTCGCCTCATCAATAACATTAAGTTCGGGCTCGGCGAGTTGGAGAGGTTCCAAGTGATGACTTGTACAAAGTAACTGCCCTCTTGAGGTTATACTTCTCAATACACGTCTGTTTTTAACTCTTTAAAGTACTGAGCGCAGATAGCAAGAACACTGAGCTATTCGCAGAGTTCCGGCTTAGTTTGTTATGTTGTTATGAATATTCCTGGATTGTAGCACCGTTTATTTTAGATATTCTATTCTTTTTAACAAAATAATATTATGACTCGTATATTACGGAGACAAATTCGCTAGATCTTGCTGAATTTCTAACAGTACCAGGGTAAGCACAGGGCTTCAATGCTCTATCTTTTAGTGAAAACCTTGACCACAGCCACTACGAAGAAGAAGACAGTAAATGAGAAGCTAAGATGATGTAACCATAATATCCTAAAGGGCCTTGACGGCAAGTTCACCATTGAAACTTACGATTTCTCCATTATCTTGAACGTCATTGATATAAGTATGAGTTAAAAGACGCTGGATCTACGTCCTTTGCTCCATGCCAAGGTCCATCCAGTCAGTATTCTTAGTGAACAGTAAGTTCATGGCAGTTTGTAATCTGTCAGCGAATGTCATAAAAGACCGTTTAAAAGACCCGTCTTAATGTAACTAATGGCATACCAATTTTATTCATGAGCATATTGCAAGAAGAGGGTTCCTGCTTTGTTGTGGCAAGCAAATCCGTTGCTAACTGCCCATCAAATAAGGGTTAAACAAAGGCCATTATGCCATTATATGCAGATTATCTTCAGTTATATCGACGCCACGGGAGCTTCAGTGCTTGTTGGATCAGATGCTGCCATCCTGTCCAGGAATCAATTTACTTGAGCGTCAGTGTGTTATGCGTGCCTTAACCGTCCCATGCTGCAGCGCGATTGCACGTGTGAGACACAGTTGTTCCCGTATTATCAGTATGGGTCTGAATATCGAAGCACGGTAGTTCCCGATAGTTTCAAAATAGTTTCCTATTCATACATTTTTAGAACTATGCAATCGAAGTCGAAAAAACGGATCGTAATAAAAAGAAATCCTAGAGTAACCGTTGATTTAATGATATATTAAATGTATCAAGTGAAAGACAAGTTTACATCGAAATTTACGAAAAGAGATCAAAGGTGACCGTAGTTTCTGAGATGGCGCTTAATCTAATCATGATGAAAGCGACAATCTTCCTGATTCTCCTTCAAGTTTCCCAAGGTATTATCATAAAAGATAGTAACTAATAACTAATATCAATTACATGCTAATGATTTGAATATGATTTGATGATAATTAGCACTGGCATAAATTGTATCTTTTGAGCGAATTGTATTTAGGGACGAAAAATGCAGATACATTCTCGGATAATACAAGGCCAAAAAGAAGAGCGGATTATAGTGAGATGTCTAAACTTTTATCACTTGTATTAGAAATGGCTGAAATCAATAACTATGTCCCTATGGTCGCATTTTATTTTGGGCTAATATACTGTTCAATCGCGTATGATATTGTTTCTTTTCTGTAATACATCTAACTTTCAGATTTTAAACTCATAGATGCTAACGGTAATGCAGTTGGTGCTAGAGTTGTAGGATTACTGATTGTCAATGGTGATTCAACAGTTTGTGACGATAATTTCAGCGACAACTCTGCTAATGCAATATGCCGTAAAATGGGTTACATTGGTCAAATGAGATGGAATGTTGGCGACAAATGGGGAATTCAATCGCAATTTCAAATAGGACTGGATGATATCATTTGCAGCAGTGGTAGTTGGAGTTCTTGCAGCTATGTCGCAGATACACACAACTGCCAGCATCATGAAGATGTGTTTCTTCAATGTGACGGAGATGGTAAGATAATGAGTGTTTCCGACTCTGCGCTTACATTTGATTCATGATTCATCTGTTCTTGTCAAATGTTTTACATTATGCTCTTGCTACAACTTTAACGTTATAATGTTCAGTTGACGGCGGCTATTCTGACTTTGGAGATTGGTCAGAATGTCCAGTTTCCTGCGGAGGAGGCACCCAAACTAGAACCAGAAGTTGCACTGAACCTGCACCAGCTAACGGTGGGATGCCGTGTACTGGGGAGAGTTCTGAAGCTAAACCTTGTAACGCTCATCCTTGTCCAGGTACTGGTTCAGTTCATCTCTTACATAGATACAAGACACTCACTTGATTCTAGAGGAATTAATTATTTGAAATTTGTAGACTCTACAGTCTACAATCTACATTGATCCTACAGTTGACGGTGGTTGGAGCGAGTACGGAGATTGGTCAGACTGTTCAGCTGAATGTGGGGGAGGAACACAAACCAGGACAAGGACTTGTACTACCCCTGCTCCAGCTCACGGTGGTGTAGATTGTGCTGGACCAGGTTCAGTTAGTCAAATGTGTAATTCGCAAAGTTGCCCAGGTAATTGAGGAGGTAAACAGTTGATTATTGCCCCGGCGTATTTGTCGTTTTAATTATGATAAAACCGTTCTACCTATCATTAACCCCATGGAAACGTTCTCGATTTCATGGAAGGGGGTTTAATAGCGGAATGAAACCACGACAAAACATCGTGAATAGAAATCAGTGGATTTAATTTCATTACATTAAATTTATTATTATATCAGGCAAAATGTAATCTTTGATGTGCTCTCTGACAGCCGATAATCAAATCGTTCAGTCAACGGTGGATGGAGTGAGTACGGAGATTGGTCAGACTGCTCTGCTAAATGTGGGGGTGGATCTCACACTCGAACCAGGACTTGTACCAGTGCTGCTCCAGCTTTTGGGGGCCTGGATTGTGTTGGAGGCGATTCAGACACTCAGTCATGTAACGATTCTCCTTGTCCAGGTTAGTTTTAACTTTGGTATGAGAGTTGCCAACACTCCTGGTAGTCTCCGAATGTCTTAATTTTAACTTTGGTATCACCCTCGTATCGTGAAATGAGCTGATATTACTGTTTCACCCGAATAGCGAAATTAAGATATTCCAAATACTTGGTGCTACATTTCCAATCACATTTCAGAGTGCGAGCCTCTGAATGTGATGAACGCATATGTTTCACCAGATGGGCAAACAAAGGAGGGTGCAGTTGTCACAGTCACGTGCTTAAAACCAAGAAAATACGTCCTGATCGGTGGA